TTCCATATGAATAAAAAGAAGCGGACGGCTGATGAGGCATTCAAGAGCGAGGATTACGATTATCTATATGGGATTGTATCGACAGGTGCGGATTGGCATTTTATCATGTTCACTTCCGAAGGTATTTTTTGTACAAGCAATAGTGAATATCAGATAAATCTCATGAAAAAGGCACTTAAGGGGAATCAGGAAAATCTGAGGGAGGATATAAAACAGGTAATCAGTATAGTCGTAGGATTATTGAAAGATAGGGTAACCGCATGCGATGAACCTGAAAGCAAGAGGCGACGCGTGCAAGAAAAGATTAGCAAAAAATAATTGATGGTAGATAGTTTTCCCGCTTCACATGTATTTTATATTGTATCAAATAAAAATATTTTTTCCTTGCCGATCACTTCGTGAACTCGGTTCACAAATCATGAAATTTTTTTTTCTTGGCAAAAGTGATCGGCGTTACAATTTGTAACGTGCACGTGATCTTTATACCTCGTGATGGCACATATCACTTCTTTGGATGTGAGGCTGAGAGGAATATTATGAAAAACAAAATATAAAGGCAAGAAGTATTTATTTTTATATTTCTGCTGATTTCTTGCAATAGATCTAAAATATTATTATCTTGGGATATTTGAGCAGGAATTGGCTAATCTCCTCACTAATAAAGCTTTCAACAACAGATATAGGAAATGAAATATTTGTGTCGAAATTTGTTAACTTCGAAAATTAAAAATCATATTAATAAAGCTTTGGTGCATCAATTTCCTGTTGCAAAACACTTCCGAATATTATACTGTCAATATATGAAATATTGCTTGAAAGAGATTTATACAACCAAATTCGAATCCATATCCACATTATGACATAACAGGATAAACTATAAGAAAATAGAAAAATAAACTCATGCAGGATCCTGTATTCCCCTACCACGGCCCCTACCGCGACCTCTCCCCCTACTGTTCACTTTCTTTCCTTCTCCCGATATTTTTGGCAGAAATTCTGCAAATGTCAGCTTTTCGCCGTTCTGGTGTGAATCCGGTTGCATACTTGGGTTTGGACTTCACTATGTTTTCTTGTCCTTCCTTTCTAAACTCCATAAACCTTTTGATCTTTTCAACAAGATTGTATCGTAAACATAAAAGTGTTCTAATGAGTCTAGGTACATGATTTAGATCGATATCAGAAGTTGGAATAGTAAGGACTGGGATTGTAAATGGCGCAAAAAGGTATAAACCAGGACCAATAAATATTAACTGGCCAATCTCAATTTTATTAGCTATAAACAAAAACAAGAATATATTAGATCAAAAACACTTGCAGGTTCAAAATTATTGAAAAAAATTACCAAATGCTTGGGCTAAGAAAATCTTCAGTGTTTCGCACACTTTCCATTTTGGTAACTCGGTACTCAACATAAATTTATTAAGGCCAAAGACTCCCTCATTCAATAATTTACGCCTATCTTCACTAATCTTGTCTGGATCCGGGTTATTAGGCCCTTCCGACACTTCAAGCAAAAACAATGGAATTTGTTTGGGTCGCTCAAAAAGCTCTAATACACCATCAGCTTTATAGCCATTATCTTGAACATCAATCTTTGTAGATATGTCTCTTTCACATGAAAAATACTGCGCCGAGTCAATAAAACAAAAAGTGATAAAAAAAATGTATGCTAATACATGGGCCGTCCATGTCCGCTCAGGAGTTTTATTCATGGCACCATTCATTTTTGTGATGATGTCAAAAATGATTGGAGATATTCTTGACAATAAATAAATCCGGCATTTTGGGTTGATCATAGTCCGCCGGCATAGGAAAGAAGTTAGATAAATAGTGATATTTTTCGGATACACTGCCCAATTGATGTACTATTTTCTCCATTTCACTGTTTTTTTCTATAGTCTTGTAATCATCTTCATCCACAAGATAACTATCAACTGCTTCGTCTCCCTTCGATTGAGCGGGTACGATATCATCAAAAAACGCTAAATACTCATGCGTCTTTTCACTTATGAATTTTTCTTCATCTTCCAATGTTAACCTTTCATACAACGAATCCAATTCACTCTCATCCAAAACACTATATATCTGTTTCCATGTGTCTTCATCTCCTAAATCGAGTACGTAAAATTTTGACTCAGAATCTCGAGTTTTCCAGATAGTTTTAAGTTTGTTATAGTATGACGGAAAAGTTACTTTTCCGAATATATCGGAAGCATCGGTCACTGAATTCATCAAATCTTCATTCGTGACATCAAGTTCTCCTTCTTGCGTAACACGCGCACGTTTTTTCGGTGGAAAAGGCGTAGTAGGTTTTTGAACTATCTCTCTCAGTTCCGACGCAACATTTTCACGTACTCCCTCAAAAACTTCCAACACATCACCTTCTACTCTTCCGGCAAACCCTTCTTTCTGGAGATATCTTCGAGCTTTTTCAACATTTTCGAGAAAGGTATTTTTTCGGTTGGGGCCCTTTACAAACTTGTTCAAATCTTGGCAGTAATTATAAACTCCGATTGGCGTGATTGCTTGTTCTGATATTAATTTAAGGCTTGTGGTATAAGCCGTGAACGCGTCGTTTGGTTTATTAAGAAGATCCGGTACGGAGCACAAAAATTCAGCTATCTCATCGTACCGTTTTACTGGAAGATCAACAAAATGAGTTGCGATTTCTTTAGGAAGATTTTCATTGAAAGGAAGGCACCAATCTGCCAACTCCGGAGGATATGAAGGTTGTGGCATTCTCTGTTTATAGTAAAGGGTAAATTATTTCTTTGGTTAATTTTAAAAATACCAGTGCTAAATTGTGATTTGATACGCGTTCTTGATATTGTATGACCGTTCACGTGATTTTTACAACGCGATCTCATTAAATATCACGTGGCATAGATTTCTTTCGTATCTGGTGCTCAGCTAAAATCGGGAGCGGAATGACCTGCTCTTAACACTGGCCTAGCCCTCACAAGTGTAGCGGAATGACCTGCTTCATAAATACTTCTAAATGAGGTTGATGGCGGAATTACCTGCCGAGTCTGTGAACGATTTTGTTTGAGTTACCGTCCGCGCCGATGGAAGTTGTTAGATCAGGAACGGAATGACCTGTTCTTAACATAGACCTAGCCCTCACAAGCGTAGCGGAATGACCTGCCACACAAATACTTGTAAATGAGGTTGATGGCGGAATTACCTGCTGAGTCTATGCATGATTTGCTCTTCTTTTTGGGGCCGGACACAAACTAATAATAAAATAAACCATGCTCTAATCTGTATGACTAGTGTGCCTTAGGTAATATTTTTTTATGCAAAGATATGAGACAAAAAACATATACATAATTAAAAACCAGAAGAGAACCTTTATTTTCAATGATATAGTGGTTATTTCAAGTGAGAAACATCTCGAACCCTAGGTAATTCCTTCCCGCTATATCCAATTCTAATTTTTTTTTGAGAACGTCTATCCATGTCATACCGCAATATGAAGCACGAATATTCCCGACGAGACATCATGCAATTTTAAAAGATACGAACATTTTTTTGGTTGTGCTGACTGATTGTGCATTTGCAGTTCTGCTAATAGATAATTTTTCATTTAGGATCTCAAGGAACATATTGACTAATTAACATTACGGAAGGCAAAAAACATAAATTATCGGCGGGTTCACTAAGGTCAATATTGTTAATTTATTTCTGACTCTGCATGTTTTATTCATAACTGACAACCTTTTATTCTATCCAAAATACCGATGTTGGGGACAAATGAAATCGGATTAGAATTAATGTCGTGTTAGCATATAGATAGCTTAGAGCCTTATATGAGCGAAACTTTATTTAACTTTATAAACAAGTTTATGTATTACCGAATCTTGTAATTTATTCTTTTATATCAATAAATCAATAATTCCGATGAGGATATCACCTCGTTTTTTATCTATGCTAACAAACTTTTGAATTATTCCATTGCATATAAAAAATTATCATCGAACATGCAATCCAACGATTCATTAAGGGAATTAAATGCCAAGCTCTTGACTGAGATTGCCAAACTGAGGAAAGAGAATACTGAAATTCCTGAACTTAGAGAGAAGCTACTAAGATTTGCTGAGATTGAGGCTGAGAATGCGAGGTTGAAGCAAATTATTGAGGAAAATGTAAAGCGTGATGTTAGAGTCGAGGAATTAGAGCAAAAGAATAAAGAGCTTGAGACCAGACTCGCTATATTAGAACAGGGAGAAAAAGGTATTTTTACAAAAGATGTTCCGCGATCTCCATTAAATTCTAATGATACTCCGGCATCTAATATAACTGATAATACTTCAAATTCTAATATTACTCCCGAACGAATAGAAAATAGCTCTGATATAACATCTGATTCTGATACATACCAGAAAAAGAATAGCCGATCCTCCACGTCTTCTATTACTATAAAAACTGCATCATCGGAAGAGAAGAAAATTAATGATTTCCTGGATAGCGTACATAAAGAAACGATTAGTGAGAAAATAAGAGAAAAGAACCGGGAAAAGAATCTTAGATCTCAAGACAAAGTACAGAAAATCATGTCAGAAATTTCGGAAAACTCAAGTTCTATTAATAATGATAATATAGATAGGGATGTGACAACTACTATCCAGGATGAAGCGCCCAGCAATACTAACTTTACGCTTTTATATGAAAAACTTTGTGATGCTATAATTCTTGCTGATCGTAAAACCCAAGAAGCTATCGTGTGTTATTGCCTATTTGGAAAGGTACTCATTCAAAGACGTAATGAAATAGCATCGGAAAGGCAAGTTGATCCAGAATCCAATACTGTTAGTAGAATTTTAAATAAAGAAGTAAAAGCACAGTTACCCGCAGACACTTCTGATAGCCTTTTACGTAAGAGAATCGAAAAAGCAAAGAAGCTTTATAAACTTTTTGATGCAATAGGTATGGATAAAATTTATCGCATTCATTCCTTTTCTGCTGACAGTATATCTAAATTAACAAAAAAAGAAATTCAGTATATTATAGATAATGTATCCTTTGATTATAGCATTGATGTGAGCTTGCCTCTGGCTGAGTTACGGGATGATGAGAAAAGTTCTGTAACCCAACTTTGTGAACCGAGTTCACGAAGTGATCGGCAAAATTCTTGTGAGAAGGAAAATAAAAATTCAGAAACATTTGCTTCCTCTATCCCATTGTCTAATACGTCTAATTCGAAAGATATGATAAGTGAGGATAACAAATCTTTACCAGTGGAAGAGGTAAACATATCTACTGGAGTAATTTCAAAGGATAAACCAGAAACCGTAAATGAGGATAATAATATAAGCGAGAAAGTCGAATCTTTACTGGAGGAAGAGGTAGATGAACCCGATGATTCTTTAGATTCTAGCTCGGAACCCTCTGATGATGATGGATTCTGTGGATTTTCTGACGATGATGACGAAGGTTATTATTATGATTTAAATACCGGCAAAACTTATACAAAATCGGACCGTTCAATCTACGCATATTAATGATTTTTAATATAATCCCGCTTCCTCGCAATAAATACTCAAAGTCAGATGTTTCGTTATATACTGTATATGGGATAACTATATAATCTTTTTTCGAATATATGAGAAAAAAGGAATTCCGGATAAAAATGTTGTGCCACGTGATGATGATATAACTCGACCGTGACTGAGTAGACATGGTCTCAAAGTTTGGCACTTTTTTGATAATTAAATAATAAATAAAGTCTACCCATATTTGGGCTTTGTATTTTTTAACCTCAATCTACGTTCGGTAATGAATGCGTATAACATATCTTTCACAGAAAGTGCATCGTGTATTACATATGGCAACCATATAAATCGTTATTGGTATATTTTCAATCGTAATATAAATACGTACCTACCTGATAGTCGTTCATTTACTTTTTCCACGTAAAAGTAGTATAATTAACCGAATACGTATGCCTCGGATTTGCATATCTCGGATTTGTCTATCTCGGACCGGGTGATCTCAAACGGTGAGTGTCGTACATTCCTATTGCTGGAAAATTAAATCATATATTTGTAATACACTTAAAATAGATTTTGTGTCAGATATGGAACTTCTACGGCAATATTTGAATCAAAAACATCGGTCAAGTGTAAGACCGCGCGGTCTCACATGTAATCATCACGTGACTACTGCACCGATCCACAATCTAATAATATGTCAGAAGATAATAAAAAAACTCCAAACGAGGTTGGAGCTAATGCGACTCCTGAAGCTTTAGCACAAAAAAGACGACTTAACATGGAGTTTCAGGCAGATCAAAAAGCAATTGAGATGAATGAAAGTGGTCAGTATAAAGTTACCGTATTAACTTCGAAAGATGTATATAATATGAAGAAGGAAAAACCGTCAGAACCGTCAGAACCGTCAGAATAATAGACTTGAGTCTACGTAAAAATGTCTAGTTGGCTGTTGAACAATATTGTAAGTTATAGATTTATCTATATATACATTTATCTTGGACTAAAAATATTAAAAATAAAATTCTTCATTTTTAGCCAGAATTCGAAAACATTTCATGATCATTTTAACTATATATTTTTATATTTCATTGTTATTTAACTTTGTGAGAATACTATTATATTCCTAGCGCATATGTATTAATAAAATTTCGCCCCACAAATTTGGGCTTTATTTTAAATATGAACGATATATGTGCTGTAAGATTTTTTTTGATGAAAAAGGATTAAATCGAAAACATAAAAAACAAATTAAAATTATAGAACCACTTGAAAATTTATTGTATAATAATAAAGCTAGTGTCAAGACGCATATAGACATGGTTAACCAAGAATCCCAAACCCAAGATACTGTCCCGATTTGTACATGTGATCAGGTACATAAATGCCCTTGCTTTGTAAATGAGGAGGAGATCAATCGTCGGGTTAAAAAAGAAGTCAATATTTTATGTCAACGATTACTGGAACATAATGAAAAAACTTTTGGTAAATTTATGCGAGAAATTACTATGGAGCATGAGGATAGAGTCAAAGCTAATAAAAAATTACGATGTGAGGTTGAGGAAAAAAAGATAGAATTACAAGAGGCAGAAAAATGTCTCGCATATCTGAAGTCACGCTCTATTCATTAGAAAGATTTAAGGATGTATCCCAACCCAATCTAATAGCAAGTGGGTCATCTACTGCCTTGGTAAAATCAAAAACCACGAAATCTCGATCCCGCAAATGCTTGTCAATAATCTTGGATGCTTTTTTTGGATCGTCTGTATACTGGCGTACGATTCTATGGATGTCGTCTCGGCTTCCTGCCCCCCGAAAAAGAGCCAAATGTGAGATGTTTTCGCGGATAATTTTAGGAGTTTGTGTATACTTCTGGCTTACATATATGGGTGAGATATTTTGATGCCGGCCACTAATGAAGTAAGGAATAATTCGTTCTTGCACTTTTTTCGGTTCGGCGCATAGATCCTCAAATACAACAACTGTACTTCGCTCTGGAGAGAATTTAGTTATATCTGGAATTTTATCTGGAGATATTCTTTTAAATGTGACATCTTCTCGATATGGTTTAGGGGCATTCGCAAAGATCTGAAAGCTATTTTGTACAAGTTGCCATTTCGGCTCAAAATGTTTGCCTATTAATACGAGATCATCGTTTTTGATATAACGATTTCCTTTCTTACCTTTAAACATTCGTTGTAATTTATTACCCAGCATAAGATTAATTACCATATTGGTTTTTCCGCTATTGGACCCTCCACATACCAGTAATCTGAATGGACAGTCGGGGGCATATTTGTTAGATTTCATTCGTTCTGAGGAGTTTTTAGATGTCTCATCGATATTGTATACAAATATGGGCATTTTTTCTTCTTTCATTCCGAATAAACTAAGAATACTAATCTATTATATCGAAAAAATATTAATCGAACCAGATAAGCATCTGTATTTGACTCATTATTTATATCTGCCGGATTCCAGCCAGGAATAATAATATTAGGATTTCTACTTATTAAAGTATTAATGGCAAAATATGAGAAAATTTTGGTTAAAAGTTTAGGCAAGGTAAGTGGATGAAGTTTATTATATGTCATAGTTATCTTTGTAAATTTATTCTTTATGAGATAAATAACCCCTCTCTTGCAATTCACTTTTGATATAGGGAAATAAATCTGAGTCGAATGGTACTAATATGAGATCTATACCTTGTTCCTTGCATATATTCCGCTTTTTTTGATCACGTGCCCTTTGTGAATCTAAGTCGCCTTGATTTTTGTGATATAAACTATTGCAATAAAAATGTTGGACTCCATTATACTCCCATGCTAATTTTAGTTCTTCGTTATACCCATCTAATTGCATTCCATTCAAAAATGACGGTTTACATGATGGAAATTTCTTACCTAATAGATCTTCAAAAATATATCTTACATTTCTCTCAGTGGTGTGATGACATAAGGGACACCATTCAAACTTCGTAGCTATTAATGGATATGGGTACTCAAATTGATGTTTACCATTCTGACATGACCAAAGGTATACATTCTGATCATTAATTCGACCAGTTTTAGCTAAAATACTTCCATCACGTTTCTTGGCATATTGTTGGACCCTGTCAAATTCACTACTAGAAACACGAATGAAATGTATCAATCCAGAAGGATGATATTTTCGTATAAAATTGTCAGGTGGATATTCGACTTCTTCAGGATTTTCTATTACTTGGAGTTCTTCTCGCTTGAATGGTCGATGTGGGTTACGTCCCATCAAATGAGCAGTAGATTCAATAGGCTCATCTTCGAGATAGTATAAGACTGGCTGTGGTGGATTCCTTCCAACAATAACCTTTTTAATTCGATAAACACGCAACGAGAAGTATGGATCAGTTTTCCTATGAACGTGTCCTCCTTCCAACTCACCTGGTTTTAATAAATATCTTACAGTCGTTCCTTTTTGTAATCGCAGTTCATCTTTCCCAATAGGTCTTTTAGGTTTGATAGTTACTTTGGGAATCACTTCCCGCAATGTCATAGCATGGTCAGGGCTCATACCGATTAATCGCGTTTTATTATTATTCATATAGTTGATAATTTTCCGAAGTATCTTTTTCCATAATTTTGAGCGTTCACCTTCTTTGAGTTTTCCTTCTATAGCATATTGAATTTTATATATAAGTTTTGCCAAATCTTGTTTGAATTTTTTTACTAACGCTAAGCTTTCAAAACTATAAAGGTCTACAACTCTTATAGGAACATTATAACGTTCCATCCCTCGAGAGAATGCTCCTTTGAACTCCCCGGCACCATCTACCATCAACAATGCCGGCCATGTGAGAGGATTTTTGGGATCATTGTATATCTTTTCGATCGCGTTCCAAACTTCTAAACTATTCTTTGATGTCAACGCTACTGCACATTTAAATCTTGTCGCCACGTCTATAAGCACCAAGGTGTGTAAATACACTTTCCCCCTTTTCTGATCATCATAGACATGAGGTAATAGATCACATTGGTGTAATTTATTAGGAATTCGACATTTAGAAAAGCTAGCCTGAGCCTTAATCTTTGGTGGATGACGATATATTTGGTAATCATACTGATTTTCTAACCACTTTGTTATATCTTTGAGTCGAAAATGACCATACCCTTCTTTTTTACACGCCTTTTGTAGAGCTTTCACATTCGGATAAAACCCGGGAATATTATAATAGAGTGCACGACAAACTATAGCTACCTCAGCATATGGATCTATATATATAGTAGGTATACTCATTTTGGCTATGCCTTTACTTTGTATCAATATATTATACCGTAAAAAATAGCTATGGCATTTCATAAACCACACCGTAATCGATTATCTCGCGGGCCAAGCTCTGATCGGGAATTGGAATTGGAGCAGGTAAATCAAGCTTTGAGGGATGAGTTATCTAACGAAGTTTCAATCAATAAGTCGAATGAAAAATTTATAAAGGTTCTGGAACGTAAATATACCAGATGTGAGAATGAAATCCAATCTCTTAAAGAAGAACTGGAATGTCTCGAGAATGCTTCGGAGGAAGAAAAAGCAGAGTTGAGATCGGAGATATCGTCCCTTAAAAGAAACTTATATCAAGCTAAAAAGGATATCCGAGATAAGGTATCCTATATCGATAGTATAGAGAAGCAATTACAAGAATCGGAAGAGCGGGTTCAAAATTTACGGCATAGATTCAAAGATATTTCTTCTCGAAGAAGCTCTCCAAGTTTATATAATTCAGAAGAGAAAGATATAGATATGGCGAATCTTGATCTTTTTATACAAATCGAACGAGGCTTGACTCGTATTGAAAATCACCTTAAAGGTGCTGGAACACCGTTAAATAGTCCTATAAATATTATAAATGGCATTAGAGGTTCCTTAAATACTGTTCGGCATAATTATCAGTCTGCATACCAGGATATAGACGGTGTTATCGCTCAACGAGATGACAGCAATAATCAGATAGTCCAGTTACAGCAGGATGTCAATTATTTTAGACAACAAAATGTCGCTTTACAAAATCAAGTTAACCAGCTTACTCAAGATGGTATTACTTTGCAAAATCGTAATCATCGGCTTACACAAGAACGTGATACCTTACAAAACCATGTTAACCAACTTACCCGGGATCTTAATAATGAACAGGGAGAATGTTATCGCTGGAGGAGAATTGCGCAAAAAATAGAAAATGGAATGCAAACACGTACCAATGCTCTATTACTTGACAAATTTGCGCTTAATTTTAAACTTCGGCGGTGCCAAAGACATGGTATAGAATTACAACAAAGATATAATTTGCGAGGGGGTTTGTGGCATAATATTACCTTAGCATTAGAAGAACAATCTAAACTTAGGCGTTCTCTCGAAATTATTTATAAGATATCTATTTATCGCTTAGAATGGAAGCTACAACAATGTCAGGGTGATAAAGGATTATTAGAATATAATCGTGATCGGCTCTTTGATAGATACTACAATAAATTCAAGGATCGGAAGGCAAGACATATTAAGTGGAAAAATAGAGAGTGCAATTCACGGCAATTAATTTTAAATTTACAAGCCCAAATTTTATTACTACAGAATAATATACCGCAGAATCATAAT